TTTTGAGGGTGAGCCTTGTTTGAGGTAATTGAAGAAAATTTTCACTTTTAAATGAAACACTTATTTTGATTCATCTTTTAAAATGTTATTAGTAAATTTTTCAAACAAAATTTATATAAATTTTGAGTCAAGTTCAGGTGTCGTTTCATTTTCGTAACCGAAGTGAATCCCCTTATTGATTAAAAAAATATTATTTTTGACTATAATTCAATTAAAGTTTTGAAACATGTATTTATAATTATTTAATAGAATTATATATATATAATATATATATATATATATATACTAATTAGATAAATTTTATTTATGGATAAAATTATTAAAAAAAAGTTTGGTTTGCCTTGATTTATAATTCTACCTCCATTCCTAGGTAGATACAAACAACAGACAGACACAAAAAAATAAACATACAGATAAACACAAATTTAAGGGTATACACACATGCAAATGCAGATGTGCATGGAGACAACTCACAAGTAATTTAATCTTCTCTTCTATATAAATAATTTATGTTCTACATCAAATTTTAATAATCCAATTGTTGAATTAAAATTTTGTAAAGTATAGATCAAGTTTGCAAGTTTAAAAAAAATTAAAATTATTTGATATTCTATTTCATTAATTCAAATCATGTATAAAATATTCTTATGATCATCCGTCAATATAAATTAATGAAATAGAGTAATAAATAGTTTTTAAATTTTTAAAAAATTTATAAATTTGATCTATGTATGAAGAACTTTTAATTCAATGATTGGATCATTAAAATTTAATGTAAAATGTGTTATTGAGTAGAGTAAATATAAGTAGACTTATTCTACTCAATAACTCAAATTTGACATTAATTTTTAATTATTTGAATTAAAGATTCTTAATATATAAATCAAGTTAGCAAATTTTTAAAAAAATTAAAAATCATTTGATGATATTTTATTTTGTTAATTCAAATTGATAAACAATTACAAAAATATTTTATATATTGATTTGAATTAATAAAATAGAGTATTAAGTAATTTTTATTTTTGTTTTAAATTTTACAAACTTAAATTATTAAATGGAGTAAATATAAGCAATAAGTGGATTTCTTCTCCTCCCTCACTATATATATGTGTTAATATTCTCAATTAAAAAGGAAATAAAGAACCACCGTAATATTCAACTCGGTGACTTTGACATGAAATTGTTTGAAAAACTATATTATAATATATATGGAATAATAAGTGCATATTTTATTTCTTTAACATCAAGGAAAATTTATTTTTTCTTTTTATAAAAATCACGATATTTAATATAAAACCTATAAAATGGAATGACATTCTAAATGAATATTATCCACAGTGTCATATATTTAAATATGTTCTTGGATACAATTATACAAATCAAATATGCCTTTTATACATTAAAATATTAATTCATATATATATATAAATATTACATCAATTTGAATTAAAAGTCATGAGGACTTGTTCCATATGTTAAAATTTACTTAGCATTGTCATCTGATGTAAACAACTATCTATCGAAACATATGAGGAAGGCGTTTTCCACGTACACCACGCATGTTTGTAGGCATAATGAGTCAATTCAATCACAGTTTATGCAAATGAACAACGTTGTATGCACGCCTAGTTTATAAATTTGTTTAGTGGTGTGACCGGTAGCGCAGATCTCAACTACTCCAATTAGTGCTTAAACACTATATATAAACATGTGATCAATGCAATTCTTCTCTACTAAATAATATACACTTATCATATTTAATCCTTCTTTCAATTCATCTTCAACATTCTTAATAACAAGAAGCATAATAACTGTGACTTTTTTTTTAATATACCATTTTTTTTATAATTATTTAAAAAATCTAAATGCATTTATATTTACCTAAATAACCCATTTAGAAATTTAGGTGAGAAATCGGTTACCCAGTAACCGATTTCTCACTTTGGCCTTTTTTTTCGTTTTTTTGTTTTCAGATTTTGTAAAATAAAAAAAATTATTCACTTTTTGATTTTCAGATTTTTTAAAAAAGTATAATTAATTTTAATAAAATATATTTAATGTTTAAATTAAATAATTTATAAAAGATAATAATTAATAATAAAATTAATATTATATTTATTTATAAATTATAATATTTTTTTTAATTTTTTTAAAATAAATATAGTTAATTATAATTTTCAGAATTATATATAAAATTATAAAATTTTGTATAATATTTTAAAATTATGTTAAAAATAAATAAAATGTTAAAACTTATTTATTATACTAAATTTTAGAATTATAAAATGAATTTTATTATTTAAATTAAATTTATTAAATATAAAAAATTAAAAACTGTAATATAATAACAAATATATATTAAGTATACTAATTTTAACGGTTACATCATTAAAATGAAAATAAGTTAAAAAAAGACACAATTTAATTAAACAAACTTCAAACATAATAGATAAATAACATAAAACTTAAATCATATGACATTAGTTGTCTAGCTTCATTGCTTGGTCAAGGTATTTTTCAATCGCTTCCATCCCATATAATAATCCAATATACGTCGTGGTAGCATACAATTCAAGACTTGTTAGGTCGTGCAGTTCTGTGAACAATGAAAACATACACTACACATCTTCATCATCCCTAAGATGACACGTTGTATATTTATATACACCACCAATACATGAATTTGGGTATCGATAGTGAATATCTATGACAACTTTGTAATGAGAAAGATTAAGGTTATTATTAATAACCTGCTTAAGTTGCTGATAAGTCATCATGTTGCTTACTAGTAAGGTTTTAACCTCGTTGCTAACAATTGTATCTCCATGCTTAGTGGAGACAATTTGTCCATCATAGTAAACAGTGGCTGGAGCAGTTAACGACTCCATTGATCGAATGTTTCAATTTGTTGCATTTTTTTAGCCTGTGTTTAGGGTTTATATAAAACTAAAGCAACCTAATGTGGACAAACGCAAAGTCATTAGATTCCTGACGCTCTGCAAAAAGCATTGATTTTTCTGACACTAGGACAAAGTAATTGATGACACTGCACAAAGTTATTGGATTCCTGACGCTATAGGACAAAGCAATTGATGACACTCTGCACAAAGTCATTAATTTTTCTGACCCTCTAGGACCAAGGCAATGACACGTTGCACAAAGTCATTAATTTTTCTGACGCTCTGGGACAAAACAAATGATGACACTGCACAAAGTCATTGGATTCCTGACGTTCTGGGACAAAACAATTGATGACACTCTGCACAAAGTCATTAATTTTTCTGACGCTTTAGGACCAAGCAATTGTTTAAAATTCTAAAAAAAATTTAAATTTATCTAAAATTGTTATTTATCATAATATTTTCATTTTTAAAAATTATATTTAAAATTAATTTTATTAAATTTTAATCTTTAAAATTTATTTTAAATACATTTTTATAATCTAAAATAAAAACAAAAACTAAATAAATTTTTTAAAAATTCATTATAATTTTTTAATAAAATCTGAATATTAAAAACTGAAAAACAAAAAAAAAATTGGAAAAAAAACTCAAAAAAAAAACAAAAAATGAAAAGAAAAAAAAGAAAAAAAAAACCAAGTGAGAAATCAGGTTACTGGTTAACCGATTTCTCAAAGGGATTTTTCAAAAATTTTCAAAAATCCCTTTGAGAAATCAGTTACCCAGTGTTGTGCCCAAAGTGTGTGGGTATCCTCCAAAGTCCCACATCATGAAGTTTGAAGAAGGGAGTGGTAGACTACTACTATAAATAAGAGGTGATAGTTAATGTCTACTCACCACAACAACATAGGTTCCAATGGGTGTATTGGGGACTTGGGTAGTTGTGTGTCATGAGAGGGTTTTCAAGTTTTTCCAGAAAACTTGTGTATGAAGGTTTCCAAGTTTTTCCAGAAAACTTGTGAGTGAGAGGGTTTGCAATTTTGTCCTTGTAAAAATTGTAAGTAGAGAGAAATAAAATGAGTTTGTTTTTGTTTCTCTATTTTTGTGTGTATGCTTCCGCTGTCCCTGTTTGAAGGCTTCTTTTCCCAACAGTGGTATCAGAGCCGATGGTTTGATCGGGTGACTGGCTCGATGGTGGAGCAGTGTACCAGGGAGGAAGAGAAGCAGTGTACCGAGGAGGTCATATGAAGAGAGGGTTTCCAAGTTTCGCCAGAAAACTTGTGGGAAAGGGTTTTCAAGTTTTGCCAGAAAAACTTGTGAAGAGGGTTTCCAAGTTTTGCCAGAAAACTTGTGGGAAAGGGTTTTCAAGTTTTGCCAGAAAAACTTGTGAAGAGGGTTTCCAAGTTTTGCCAGAAAACTTGTGGGAAAGGGTTTTCAAGTTTTGCCAGAAAAACTTGTGAAGAGGGTTTCCAAGTTTTGCCAGAAAACTTGTGGGAAAGGGTTTTCAAGTTTTGCCAGAAAAACTTGTGAAGAGGGTTTCCAAGTTTTGCCAGAAAACTTGTGGGAAAGGGTTTTCAAGTTTTGCCAGAAAAACTTGTGAAGAGGGTTTCCAAGTTTTGCCAGAAAACTTGTGGGAAAGGGTTTTCAAGTTTTGCCAGAAAAACTTGTGAAGAGGGTTTCCAAGTTTTGCCAGAAAACTTGTGGGAAAGGGTTTTCAAGTTTTGCCAGAAAAACTTGTGAAGAGGGTTTCCAAGTTTTGCCAGAAAACTTGTGGGAAAGGGTTTTCAAGTTTTGCCAGAAAAACTTGTGAAGAGGGTTTCCAAGTTTTGCCAGAAAACTTCTGTATGAAGGTTTCCAAGTTTTTCCAGAAAATTTGTGATGAGAGAGTTTGCAATTTTATCCTTGTAAAAATTGTAAGTGGAGAGAAATAAAATGAGTTTGTTTTTGTTTCTCTATTTTTGTGTGTATGCTTCTGCTGTCGCTGTTTGAAGGCTTCTTTCCCAACACCCAGTAACCGATTTCTCACCTAAATTTCTAAATGGATCATTTATGTAAATATACGTGCGTTTAGGTTATTTAAATAATTAAAAAAAAATAATATATTAAAAACAAAGTCTAATAACTGTCATTAATTCCAATTCCATTTATTACATTACATCACATCAGAAGGAAAAAAGAAAAATCATATTTGAACATCATACATACATCACAATTATCACAGCTATATTATGTCACACTAATACTATTGAACTTAATCTACACTAATGGATGGTGCCATTCTCTTTCACCCCTTCAGCAGATTTTCCATTGGCTTTAACCTCTTCTTCTTTTGTTACTGCCACTTCCTCATCCTCCTTGGCCTTTTTCTTTGCTTCCTCCTCTGCCTTCTTCTTTGCCTCCTCAATAGACTCGATCAGATTCTTCAAGCAAGACTCAGAATCTTCAACAATTGACTTAGGCATAAGACTCTCAGCAACATCAGCAGGGGCCATATTGGTCTCCCCCAACAACTTCTCAATAGTGGGAAACAAACTATGAGACTCAACATCCAAGTAGTTCTTAGCCAACACCTTGAAAGCCTCATAGCCACAGTATGACATCTCAATGTGCTTGTCCATCCTCCCTCTCCTAATCAAAGCAGGATCAAGCTTCTCCACGTAATTTGTTGTGAAAATTATGACCCTCTCCCCTCCACAAGCTGACCAAATCCCATCAATGAAATTCAACAACCCTGATAGAGTCACCTTACTTGCCTTCTTCTCTTCCTCTTCACTTTTCTTGCTAGGATTCTTAGGTTTCTCCTCATCTTCATCTTCATCTTTCTTCTTTTCTTTCTTCCTTTGGCCTGTAAGATCAAGAGAGCAATCAATGTCCTCAATCACTATAATAGACTTACTCGAAGTCTCAATCAACAACTTCTTCAACTCAGTGTTCTCCTTCACTGCAGTGAGTTCAAGATCATACACATCATAGTTCATGAAATTAGCCATAGCAGCTATCATACTAGACTTCCCAGTTCCTGGGGGGCCATATAGCAAGTACCCTCTCTTCCAAGCCTTCCCAACTTTAGCATAATACTCTTTTCCCGTTTGGAACTTAACAAGATCATTTATGATCTCTTCCTTCTTCTTTGGATCCATAGCGAGAGTCTCAAACCTTGAAGGGTGCTCGAAGTTCACATGGCTCCACTTGGTGCGTTTGTAACCATACCAATCACTGCCAGGGTTGTTGGTGTACAGCTTCAGCGTCCTATTCTGAACCGTAATGGCCTTCCCTTCATCCAACACATGTTGGATGTAGGAGCTTGTGATGAGGTCACGGTGACGCTTGTGGACCGTTAGGGTTAAGAACCTCTTCTCATCTGAAGAAGGGTACCATGAAATTGTCTGAGAGCTGGGCATTTTGTAGTTTGCACTCCACCACACTTTGACACCTTGGAACTCATCTATGATCTCTTCATTGTCGTCCATGGTGAGAACTATTGGGTTTTGGCTATCTTTCACGACTTCAGCTTTGAGCCTTTTGGCTCTTTGAGATGAGTTTGCACTGAGGTAGGTTTTGATGGCTGTGTATGCTTCACTTCTCTTGAGTCTTTCACCTGAGAACTCGGGGAAGGTTATTTGGATGTAAGGGTACATGAGGCTTGAGAATTTTTTTGTGTATTTCTTCAGATAGATGCGAAGGTGGTGAGGGAAGAATTGCTCATACATGGCATACACAAACATGACGCTTGCCATAAGTGAACCTAGTTGTGACCATATTCCACTGGTTCCCATTTTCTTTTCTTGATTTCTGGTGTTCAATGAATTTCAGTGGTGTGGTATTTATAAGGAGTGAAATGGACTAAGGGAGTCAACTTTTGAGTTATTTTCTTGCTCCCCAATCCACGCCTTCAAAATTTACTGTTCTTTACTTGTGTTCAATGAATTCAGGGGTGTGGTGTTTACAAGTACAGCTGTGTAAACGGTCCAGTCTGGCGCATGTGTCACACCCACCTTGATCCACTTTAAAAATGAGCCAACCTAACTTGACTCACTTTTAATTTTTTTAAAATAAATTTGGCCCAGTCCGGCCCATCACGGGTTGGTGAGTTATACGGGCCAGCCCACCAGCCCACCAAAAATTATAAAAAAAATTATCAATAAAATTTAAAATTTAAAATTAATTATAAATTAACATAATAGCCATAAAATTAGCATCATTAATAGTCATAAATCATAACTCATCATACAAAATTAAATACAAATAATGATAAAAGTCTAAAATAAAAAATTTTAATATTCCATCATACAAAATTAACTATAAATCATACTTAAATTTTTATTGCAAAAAAAATGGTGGGTTGGTGGGCTACCCGGCCCACCACGGATTTAGCCCGGGTGGGCCAGGTCAAAGTGAACCGAGTTAAGATATACTCACCTATTATAAAACTTTAATTTTTTTTTGGCTAACTAACCCGCTTTTAAGGTGGACCGGGTTGATCTACGGGTCCAAACTCACTTTGACGACTCTATTTACGAGTGAAGAGGACTAGTCAACTTTTGAGTTATAATTTATAATATTGAAATAAAATTATAATTTTGATTTGACAACAATACCGATCACATTTAAAAAATTGTAAAGTAACTTTCGTACTAAAAAATTGGAAAGTCGTAAATGACAGCCAACATGACACACGAAATCAACTATTAAAGATTGTCGTCCACCAAGAGAAACTCCCACGAAAATAAGCCGTACATACCTACTTTGTAATTGCAAGTTCATACCATTTTTAATTTAAATTCCTTATTTTAACTTAAAAATATAAGGTAATATATAATTATTAAGTAAATATGTGCAAATTCACATAGGATCTTCATTAAAATATATTTTTTAAATTATATCCAATCACGTGCTTTCTCTAAATGATAAAATTTGATTAAAAACTACAAGTAATTATATATTCAGTTAATAGACCCTGAGATTCCATTTTTCTTTATTTGCAGTTTAATTGCGAAGTGGATTTTACTAAGAGTAGCTTGATATTTCCTATTTTTTTAAAAAATTTAAATTCCTTATTTTAACTTAAAAACATGAGGTAATATATAATTATTAAGTAAATTATGTGCAAATTCACATAAAAAAAATTCATTAAAATCTATTTGTTAAATTATATCCAATCACACGCTTTCTCAATGATAAAAGTTGATTGAAAAGTACAAATAATTATAGATTCATTGAATAGAGCGTGAGATTTGATTTTTATTTATTTGTAGTTTAATTGTGAAGTGATTTTATAAAGAGTAGCTTGATATGTCCTAAAAGAAAGAAACTTGAGATTAGGAGTGTAAGTAGTTACATGTAACTTCAAATTTAAATTGATTCAGAGTGATCTAAAGAGTTTGGATCAAATTTTTTGAGTATTCAAGTTGGACCCGATCCATCCTAATCAAAATCCAACACTATTTGTGTTGGGTAAAAGGATTTTTTTGGTCCATGATTTAATCTGATTCGGTCATAAAATAAAAATAGTAAAAATAAAAGAATAATAATAATAAATTAGTGTGATCACTTGTTCATAACAATATTCTTTATCACTCTTATTCATTAACGAGTATTCTATTTTTGGATTAATAGTATTATAACAATATAATATATTTATTTTAAATTTTATTTTGACTTAATGGTTGTAGCAAATCAAAATAATTATTTTGAAATTTAATTTGTATCATTATTTGTTTTATCAGTTAATAACATTATATTTAAAACAAGATATCAAATAATTTACATCTATTATAAAATATTATATTTTGTATAATAAAAAAATAAATTAACTATGTTTACCGAATTTACCAAATTCAATCCAATCTACTTGTGATCGAATTGGATTGTTAAATTTAATAATAAAAAAAGTACAAATTCAACTCTAATTAGCACATTAAAATTTTAGGTTAGATAGCAAATTTATCTAAATTCGACCTAACTTAACCTAGTTACGTCCCTACTTAATATATTTTTATCTATAGGTTTAAGATATGTAGAAAAATTCTGAAATATAAAAATCCAAATATTGATATCCTAAACTTAAAATAATTTAAATTTAAATATTTGCAACATAAATAATATATTTCTAAAAAAATTAAATTATTCTTTACAAATTAAAGATATTTAAATATATTAAATTATTCTTTAAAAATTAAGGATATTTAAATATATTCTCAATAGATCCACCAAATTTTATAATTTCAAATAAATTTTAATTTATGTGTAAAATAAATTCAATTCAAAATAGTGAATTTTTTTGAATCAGTAAAAAAGACACTAACAAGAATTAAATTTAAGTCTACACGAATTTATCTCAAGCCTCCAATCTCGATGTCAATTCTAGTAGATAGTTGTGTTCAAAAGAGCGTGTTTTAAGCTTTTTTTTTTATATAAAATATTTTATATTCTAAGCTTGTTAACCTTCATATTGATTATTTTTAAAATTATACAAGAATGAAAAATAAACTCACACAAGTAGATAATGTTTGAACCTATCCTAACTTTGACAGAGAATAATTTAACTTGATCAGATATGGGTACGGATAATACCCGATTTATTAAATCGGGTATGAGAAAAAAATGCACATATACTTATTGGTTCTTGTTCCCATTCATGTAAATTTCAATTATTTATGGTCATTTATTTATTTATTTATTAAAATTTATTTAAATTTATGTAATTTTATTCTATTTTAATTTACATCAAACGAAACTTAAATAATATAACTTTTTAATTGTTACTTTATATTAGAATTTGTCTTTTATCTAAATTTTTGTACAAGGATAAAGATGAAACATAAATCCCATATCCATAAAGTATTGGAAACGGGACAGAGACAAAGTTATTGACAGTCACACCTACCTTGTCGGTTTCCATCCCTTTATTTCAATGGTATTTTTTATTTGATTTTATAATTTTATTTAGGTTAAATTGCACTTTTGTTAATTCACAATTTTGGTCAATTTATTTTAAAATAAAGACATTTAGTTCTTTTAATTTTAAAATATAAATTTTTAATTCTCTTGTCAAATTATCATTTATTAATTATTGTTTTAATTTTATCCATATTAAATGATGTGACATTTATTAATATAATTAAAGTTGAGAGAAAAAACTAAAAAAACATCTTAATAAGATTAATTAATAAAATAAATATTGGTCATTCATTGAAATATACACAAATAAATATTTTTTTATTATTTTTTTAGAATTTTTTTTACATATTTCGCCACTAAATATCACATCACTTAAATGATGTCACTAAATATCATATCATTTAAGTGATAATAAATTACTAAATATTGTTAAAATTCAACAATTAATAGACATAAAATGCATGACCGAACCAAAATTTTGCATTTTTAAAAATAAGGAAAGTAAATGCTTTTATTTTAAAACAGAAGGATCAAAATTGCATATTAAAAAAAAATTGAGAAACTAAAAGTACAATTTAACCTTTTATTTACTATATATGCATAAAAATTAAATTCATAAATTTTAATTTCTCAAATATGTTTTACACACATCACAAAATTAAACAAAATTTTTTAATTGTTCATTTTGATACAAAAAAAATTTTAATTTAGACAAAATTTAAGTATAATTCTTTAAGTGTAGTTGGTCTTATTTTTCAATAAAAATTAAAAGTTTTATCTTAATATTATACACTTGCATTTGATACAGGTCTCATTAATATTGAGATAAAATACTATCATAACAGTACCAATCAGACTTAAAAAAAAGTTTACCTAACTTCTATCCTTTATTTTATTTTTTCTCATGCTCGCGTGTTGGAATTTTCTTCTGATTTATAAAGTAGACAACGCTACATGAGCATTATTTTCGTTACTGTAGCTTTCGAAGTATAGAGATATTACTAATTTATAAATTTATAAATTGCTTTTCTAACATGAAATATATATATATATATATATATATATATATATGAGGAGAATTCAAACAACATCGGTGT